CTTACTCTTATCAATCTCAATAGCATTGAGTTCATAACGTATCTCCTCAAACAAATGAAGGATAGCACTGTTCACTAATCTCGTGTGAGTAACAGTTCGTCCATTTGGTTGAGTCAAACGTCCATGTATACGGAGTGAACTCTTACTCGGCAGCAAGCATAAATCTTGATGTTGAACAGCGATGCGAATTTCATCATTGTTGTTGAAAGTTGCTGATGCAGATGGTTGGTGCGCATGAATTTCATAATGCGCAATAGATTCATAAAAAATGATGGGTTTTTGGTTTTTCAGGATTTCTTCCATGGCTTATTGCAGTTGATGATGCAACAACAGAAGAATGTACCAATTTTTTTCCTTACTGTCTTCTTCTTTTTCGAAGTTTGAGACCTAAACTCTTTAGGAATTTAATATTTTGCGGTGTTAACACCTTGAGAGGTTTTCGATGACTGTTTCCGATTGGGAATGATGACTCGCTTTTATAACTGCCTCCTGACCTGGTATTGAAAACAATACGCATATCAACTTTTTATGTGTAATCTTATCGTTGTAACTTCTTTGAAATTAACCAGTTGACCTTCTTGATCGAGAATTTTCAGTTGGAGATGATCTATTGTTTGTGCAGCGATTGGAAGGTAGATGATGTTTGATGGTACTTCAATGATCTTATAACCTGGTGGGATCGTGGAAAAAAATTCATGTATGGTGTGTACTCTTTGCTCAGTGATGTATGCTCCAGTGGTTATGTTGCATTTAACTAGCAGTGAGTTGACCTTGAGAATTGCCACTGGCAAATCGGATTCATGAGTGACATGAGGTATAAGAATTCTTGGTGTAAAGCCCAGTAAGTGACCAATAGAATCTCCTTTTTCAAAATCTATCGGATGGCTACATTTGATGATACTTTTAAAAGTATTATTGTTAGGCTTAAGGCTATTCGATATGCCATATTCAGCAAGTTTCTCCACCAAGTAATTTTTGATATCTTCAATTTTATAGCTTCCTGCAGGTATCTCACTGACTTTGTCACTGACATAGAATTTATTGTTTTCAATGTCGATGTTGGAAATCGAATTGAAAGTTAGTAGTTCAGCGAGTCCCAGAGTGTAACTCTTCAATGGTGATAATTCGATAGGAGGAAAATAATGAGCCTCCAGCACTGAGGAAGTGCTTGACAGCGTTAAGGTGAAAGATTCACTCATCATCGTTAACATTCACTGATGTCTATGAAGCGATGTGTTCAGATTTTATATCAATTTTCCATCGAGAAATTTCAGACATAAATGCCCACATATCACTGTATTATACTCTTGATATCGTTCATGATTATATTGTACAATGCTACCAACACCGAAATAATTCATCACATCTTGGGGAGGTTGAAGATTACCAAAGCTGTCGAAATAGAGAATTTTAGTTTTTCGCTTTTTGTATGCAACCCAATGGGTACCAGGTCCATCTTTATCATCAAGATTAATTATGGCTGATTCGTATTTGTATGGACCAGTCTTGGGCATTTCGTTTCTCATGTATACTCCACGAAAGTGTGGAATTTTCATGGCTTTGACGTATTTTAACAAATCAACGTCGGTGAAGGCGCGGTGTGGTAGCCTTATGCGTTTTTTAAATGAAGACCTAAACCTTTGTTATAAGATTTCAAGTATAAGCCCTTGCCCAATGCAATTGCCTCCATTGTTTGGTTATGTCTCATACTCTCTTGTAATGCTTTGTTAGCCGCATTAGCATCATTAATGGCTTTGGCAATGCCAGCAGCGCCACCGGCCAGTGCTCCAGTAGCGCTCAAACCAGCAGGAAGAGGGATGAGGAAGGATAGTACACCTCCAATTTTGGCTGGTACAGGTAAGATACGAGGTGATTGCACTCACCTTCTACCACAAATTTCGTTAACTGCTTCACGTGCCCCTTTGAGAGCCGATTTGATAGCGTCGGTTCCCGGACGCATAGAAGTCTTAGAAGGTCGAATGATTCGTCTCAAGGAGACTTTCTTCTTCTTCTTTACAGCGCCACCACGTTTCCTCCTTTTTGATTTTCTCCTCTTCGAAACACCTTTGCCATGAATTTTTTTCATACCCATTCCGAGCGAGGTTTTTGCCTTAATTGTATTAGCTATACCCCAAGCTGCAGCTTTTTCGCGTAGGGTTGCGTCCTTCGTTAAAACTCGTTTCCAAGCTCTTTCTGTAAGAATTTTATCAGCTTCATGATGTGCAGTTAAATTATCTCGATTTTTTGAATAAGCTATATCATGCTCTTTGCAGGCTGCGTGGAGTGGATTTATGCCAGGATCACCTCGCTTCAATCGTTTTTGCAATTTGGTCTCTGGACCACAATACTGGTAGCCTGGTATATTCAATTCAACAGGAAGTTTGTTGATGATACTATTCACTAAACCTCTACCTTGACGCCCTTTCTTGGGTATGTTCCCTTTCATATCCAAATATGAACTGACTTGTAATGGGATAAATAGCGCATATTTATAAGTCTTTGTGTCAGTTATCGCTAGATCATGGAGGGGTATGGAACTCGATGATTCGTTCAAATATGATTGGGCATGTGTATGCCTTGAGAACTGGGCAACTGTGATGATGATTCAGCATCAACTGCTGATGAATGAATGGTACAGGTTCCTATAAATGAGCGATATTTATAACTCTCTGATCAGTCATTAACCATGAAGTACGAAAAGCAGACTGCAAAACTTCCAATAATGAATTTTGACGAACTGACGCAAAAGAAAAAAGGCGAGGAAAAGCGTCACGGATCTCTATTACCTAGTAGTATGCGAGCAGTTATTTGTGGACCCTCAAATTGTAGGAAGACGAACGCCCTGTTGACTCTCCTAGTTCATCCTAATGGTTTGAGATTCGAAAATATTTATGTCTATTCAAAATCTCTAAATCAATCGAAATATCAGTTTCTCAAACGTTTACTCTCACGCGTAAAGGAATAGAATATTTTGCATACAGTGAGCATGATGAAGTCATGAGACCCGAGAATGCTCTACCAAATTCCATCATGTTTTTCGATGATGTGGCATGTGAAAAACAGGATAACATGCGAGCATTTTTCTGCATAGGACGTCATAGAGATGGTGATAGTTTTTACCTTTGTCAAACATATGCCCGTATTCCAAAACATCTTGTGCGAGACAATACAAATCTACTGATACTTTTTCGTCAAGATGAAATGAATTTGAAGCATGTTTATGAGGATCATGTGAATACTGATATGTCCTTCACAGAATTCAAAAACTTGTGTGCGAAGTGTTGGAATGAAGGTAAATATAGTTTCATTGTAATTGACAAAGATAGTAAAATCAATAAGGGTCCATATCGAAAAGGATTCGATTGCTTCATGAAAAGATAAATACGCACTATTCGAAAGAACTGAGAATAGTTGTTGCGTGACTGCACAAGTGTTAACATGTAGAGCAATAATTTCATGAAGGAAACAAACAACTTGCGGAATATCACTGAAGCGAGTGATGCCATTCGCCGCAAGCATAAAATGATAAAAATAGGTAGAGAAACCACGGAGAAAGCTATGAGTGAAGTATTCAAACCCGTAATAACTCCTTTCAAGAAATTGGTGGATCATTCGCTCAAGAAGAAATCTTCAGATTCAAAACGAGGAAAGAAAAAGATTGCTGGTACACCCATTTGAATGCAGCAGGATATGGATGATGATGATGATGATGATGAGAGTTCTCAATATGAATCTCTAGAAGATCTCTCATCAAACTTAGAAACGGCACCTCCAAGTACTCCTATGAAAAATATATCCCCAATACCAGCTATGACCCCAACTGATTGTCCACCATCAATTCAGCAGGAATCCCCTATAGCCTCACAAAAGTTCCTTCAAACGTATTTGGATCGATACAATACTGAGCGTGAAAAAAGAGATTTGGATACTGAATTCGGAGTACAAAGTTTCCTACAAAGCGGAATGAAAATTGGTGATTCTTTAGTTACTTTTAATAGGGACTTGATGACCCTCAAGGATGAGGAATATATATTAACTCCTGATCTCATTGAATTGATCTTCAAGAAGGCGCCTAATATGATCGTTAATATTCTACGGAGTACAAATGCCCATCGAATGTACTATAAACCCAAGGCAGCTCTTCGAACGAGTAATACCATGAAATATCGCAACATAATCGCAAATCTTATCAAATCTGAGAAAACTGGAACAGCTCTCCCTCGGCATATGGTTGCATCAATAAAACCAAGAAAAATGGACTATGTGTACTAGGATGATCATAATGAGCTAGTAGATAAGTCTATCGACTTCGACTGCTCATGGCGTCACAATCGGCTGGAAATATGAATCACACTAATGAAATTATGTCAATAATGGAAGAATTGCGTGAGGCTGAGATTATTTATTAGACTGTTAGGATGAGAGTTCATCATTTGAAACACGAGTGTTGATGTATTTGGATGCCAATTGAGTAATACCAAAAGTGCTGTGAGGACTTCCGGTAGTCGTGGTCCTCCAGGAGAAGGTTTCAAAGTTACTTACGATGGACAATATGATATGCACTATCGTAGACTGTGTAATTTAGTTGACTCTGTAGATGAGAATGATGCGGTTTCTTTGAAAATAATGCGCAATATGATGAGAGAAGAGATGCGTCTTATATATAATGTCACGGGGCCTGTGGGTGGTAGACTGGATGAAATTCAGATAATGATACAATCATTTCAGGAAAATTTTATGAACACTATGAGACAAACGTATTGATCAAGAGGAAGTACAAGAACGTTTGATAGATCATTCGAAGATCATTAACCATTTGAGCGACGAACTAACAACATTGAAAGAATCTGTCTCACGTGAGATCCAGTCAATTCTTGCTGGTCTTCAATCAATGAGTACAAACCAATTGGAAAAAATTCAAGAAGATACAAATCAAGATCTAGCATTGCGTAATTCTGAAATAATTGGCAACTTAGATAAACGTTTAATTACATTGGAGAATGAACAAAAAAGCAGCAGTCGTTGAGGAACTTCATAGACCAGCTAGAAGAAGTTATCCACGAAGACATGTTCATGTGCGCGGACTGGATGAAACTTGGCAGGCAGATCTTGTTGATCTCACTGCCTACAGTAGTGAAAACAAAGATTACACATACCTCCTAATAATCATCGATATTTTCTCGAAATATGCGTGGGCGGTACCAACGAAAACGAAAAATGAAAAAGATGTGACTGATGCTATAGGGTCTATGCTGCAACAAGGTCGTGTACCGCAAAAATTACATGTGGATCGTAGCAAGGAGTTCTACAACAGTGAAATCAAGAAGCTCATGAAAGATTACCGGATCACAATGTACTCAACATTTAGTAACCTTAAAGCGTCCATTTGTGAGCGATTTAATCGTACACTCAAAGAGAAAATGTGGAAACAATTCAGCTTACAAGGAACATACACGTGGATTCCCATAGTTAAGACCCTTGTTCAGTCTTATAACGACACCAAATACCGGACGATCTAGATGAAACCCAAAGATGCCACTACTGCACATGAGAAGTATCTCTTACGGCATGTTTATAGGAAACTGAAAGCTCATCGAACGCGAAAAATCAAGTTCAAAGTTGGAGATAAGGTGCGCATCAGCAAGTACAAGAATGTTTTTGAGAAAGGTTACACACCCAACTGGACAACGGAGATATTCACGATCAGCCACGTTGTGAACACCAATCCTGTGATATACAAACTCGTTGATTATGAAGAAAAACCCGTGGAAGGTGGATTTTATCAAGAGGAATTAACGAGAGTGACTTATCCTGATGTTTATCTTGTAGAAAAAATACTTCGAAGACGTGGAAACAGAGTTTTTGTTAAGTGGTTAGGTTTTGATAGTTCTCACAACAGTTGGATAGATAAGGATGATTTGTAAAGTCTCATAAATGTAGTATTCTATTCAAAGGAATAAAGATGATAATATCAGTTGTGTCAAAAAATGTGCTGTTTATTCAACGAAATAACCATATGGTACAGTATCAATTAGATTCGTACAGATTATTCTTTTGTCATCTTGCCAACTCAGAGCAGATTTTTTTTGGTGAATGGTATGGACTTCATGATTATTACTTCTGATCAAATACTCCGATGTTACAAAATCCTCACAATATTCAAGACAATCTTACAATAATCATCGAATGTGATGGTTTTCAAAGCAGAACTCTTGACACCTTTCGCACGTTTTTTCTCCCTTACATCTCCGTAAATTCTAAAAGTATACAATTTAGCTCGAAGGCCTATAAACTCGCTGATGATTCTCCCGTTGCATTCATCTTTCATGAGTTCTAACTTTTTCTTATTAACAAGTGGAATACCGTAGATATTATCTTCGAGATAATCAGATATGTCGAATTTCTGAATGTCACGTTTGATATATTCATATATATCCGGGACTCTGAACTCATACAACAAACTATCGGTGTCAGTGTACATCAATTTCGCTCTATCAACGAATATTTTTTTCACATATTCATAATGAAAATCATAAATGAATATTTTAGAGAGATTCAAGATGGAGAATCCAACATAAATCGGTTTGTTAAAATACATTCTGGTGCGGTTTGATTGAATAATTACTAGATCATTGATTTCATCGAATATAGCGCAACTATGAAAATTTGGTTTAGCGATGAGGGCTTTAGCTCCGTATCTTCCTTCCCATTTTGTAATTAGTTTCACATCTCTTTGTTTCCTCACATTTTCCATGGTTTTCTCAAAAACGGCATTATTTATTAACTTGAAGAAGTTCTTCTGAAATTCATTGTTCGATTGTTTTCGTAATTCGGTATTTAAATCGATGTACGGTTTCAACCATGGGGCACTATTAAATTTTAATATACGATGAATTTCGATCAACTTAAATTTAGCCATTGTTTCAAATTCGTATAGTGTATAACATAGTTTTTTTTTCGGAAGTAGTGTGCAGACCAATTTGGACATTTTTCTATTGGGAGGAATGAAATGTTCTGGACAAACAGGTAAATCTTTATGTGTTTCAAAGAGATGGTGGGGATACTCCAAGTCAACCTCAAGAATATTCCCTTCATTCGAATCATTCGGGATATGAGTAATGTCACCAGTAGATGGCTCTACCCATTCGAAAGATCCATAAGGTAAATACTCTGACATAGCTGCACCGTACAGATTGTTAACGTCAAAATACATTAGATAGGATGTTTTTTCTCTCGAATTGAAATCGTAACCCATATATTTATTATTAGCACGAGCGTGTGGATTAGAACACTGAGCAACGCCTCCACGGATACCTTTCTCAATGAATAAATGCATTTCAATATCAGTTAAAAGTTCGAGATTTACATTTGTACATTTCAACATTGCATCAAATGCCAATCCAGGCGCTGTATAATAATGCAAGGGATCAAGTTTATAGACAGATGAACAGGTAAGACGAAAATTTTGAAAGATATCAGCTAGAAGTAAAACATCGCTAGTGAGATACAAATCAGAATATTCTCCTAATGATTTGATATTGAATGTATTCCACACAGTGTGGAATAAAATTGTTCTCTTGCTGGTAATTTTTGGTCATCAAGTTTTTCCCACGAATCTACGTATTCATAAGGGAATACTCCTTTTCTCGTTAACAATTCAAATTTCCTCTGATCATTACCACAATATTTACGTGTGATAGATTTATCGGTATCATTCAGATATGACGCTAAGTTTTCTAAACTGCTTGCCATGAATCAATAAACCTCAGTTCAACCATCGTACCTTCAACTTTTTTGTGAATGAAAGATATTTCTCTTTGTTGATTGGAAGCAAGTTTATCTTCCTTCGAATCGAGTTGCGAAAGCTTTGATCAAAAGCTGTGCATCATAACCGGAGAGATTGTGAAATACTACTGGAATTACATGAGAGTTCTTATAATTCAGATTACATTCGCGATGTGCCGAGCCTCTATATCTACCCGTAAAATGACAATGATCGTGAAATTTTGAATCAGTTTCAACGAATGGTTTCTCACAAATATGACATATTTGTACTCTAGCATACTCGAATGCTTGTTCAGATGTCAATGGTTCCATGGGAATGATTGTCTTTAGAGAGATCTCAACTTGACGAGATATTCTTTGCAACTCATCCATGAACCAATCATACAGTCTATTCCTCGTTTAATTTTGAATTCTGATCGATTCTCATCGAAAAAACAATCCAAATAAAAAGCTACACTATGAAGAATATGTTTCTGATACATTGCTTCATTTTCCGTTGAGGCAAGAATACATTCAAGATCACCATAGATAACAAAGGGGACCATCTCTTTATACTTATAATTTTTAAAACTCAACATGTTATTCTGTTCATCAGGTAACGACATTTTACTGGACATTTAACTGGAATTTGACCTGTCCGGAAGTGGATGAAGATGCGAAGCATGTGTTCTTCGCATGCCCGCGTTTCATCGAGACCAGACATATCTGGGTGTCTACACTGAAAATGGAAGTACTGCCTGAAAACCTAATGGATGTTCTACTAGCTTCGCAGGCAGCTTGGGATGCAACGAGTCACTTTGCGGCTGTAGTCATAAAAGAGCTCAGGAAAGAGGAACGCGAGTGCAAGGCTGCAACACAGGCGGAAAACCTATTGGAACCTTCTATCTACACCCAACATCTTCGTAGACTAGGAGGACGTACATAAGGTTGAAATGAGGAAGAGCAAACAGCTGAGACTTCCCTCGCGAAGTAATACTTAACGGTGGTGCCGCGAGGGGAAGGAAAGGTCAAAGATTACTAGGGTCATGTTCGGTTTTTTAGTCCGTATGGGTTGCACATTCGCCGAGCAGATACTTGCTCGTGGTCGCTACCATCTAGACCTGACCGACTCGGACACTACACTTCAGACACCACCCGTCTGAAGTGTGTTAGTGCGTAAAGAGCATTTTTCCGTTCATGAACCCAAAAAAAAAATGAAAAACACACATACAAATACGCATACACATTCATAGACACACATACACAAACATACATACACATGCACGTGCGCCCACGCGCACGTAAACAGAAATGTTTAATTTGGAATTTTGTTCCATTGTTATCGATTTGTTGTAATATTAGTCCAAAAACATAAAAAAATACTTCATGTGTGATACCATTGTATTCGTCTCACCGAGTGCAACAACTTTGGTAAGACGGAAATTGTTGGTTCCATTTAAAAACATGAACTTATGCTTGTAGCATACAAACAAACACTTATGCTCAAAATACGCTTCTCATTATTTTCCCCCCTTGAAGCTCTACACGTATGAAAAAATCGTATAGAAATTTTCTATACGAATTGCGTATACCATTTCTATAGGATTTTCGTATGTGATATTTGGATATTACAGCCCCGTGTAGTTAGCAGACCAATGGGGTCGAATTGGAATAACTCGGGAACATTGGTATAAAATGAATTACGGGATAATTTTCTGCAAAAAAATAATCTTATTTTTCCGGAATTTTCCCCGACTTTTCAAGGGCGTCAAATGAGCGTCAAATGAGGGTAGGGGCAAAACGGGTTCCTCGGACCCCAGCATCGCTGGACATGTTCGGGGAAATATGGGCTCCTGTTTGAAGTCTGTTCAAAATTTTCTGCTTGAATATTTTGGCCAAAAAAATAGATTTTTGAATTTGGGGTATTAAGCTAGCAGAGCAATGGGGTCGAATCGGGATAATTCGGGCATAATGGCATAAAATGAATTACGGACTAATTTTCTGCAAGAAAATAATTTCATTTTTCCGGAATTTTCCTCGAATTTTCAAGGGCGTCAAATGGGGGTCAAATGAGGGTAGGGGCAAAACGGGTTCCTCGGACCCTAGCATCGCATTGTGACATCCGTCGAAAAATGCATTATAATCCATTTTTCGTAAATAATTTTCTCTATTGCGTAACCATTATTTCATAATTTTTATGAACGCCTATCTGTAAAGAGAGTCAAATGCGAAGATCTCAAAGGTTCCTTGTAGGACTAGAGAAGGTGGAATAATAGATTGGAAAGGATAACCCAATCAAATGTAGAGACGACACCCATAAAAATTATGCATGTAGAATTAAATCATGAATGCATGAATTAATGATTTCTTGTTTTAAAATTGTGGAAACTATCAAATATTACAATTTAACAAATTAGAAAGGTATGAGATGTCTGTGCATCTCATTACCGGTTGGCAATAGAAAAATCAATAACACCTCTGAAAATGTATGAGATTGTGAATGGGGTGAAACCTACGTTTTGGGGCTAACCCGGAACCTCACCGTCTAAGAGGTTTCGCGGGTGACTAAGCTGGACAGTGACCATATAGCGGAAGTATGATGCTATGACTCAATTAGGGGAAAAACGCCTAAAAATAACCACAAGTTATGATATGTCAATTAGGGGAAGCAGATGGTCGACTATTCCCTTCACAAAATTTGGAAAAACTACGCAAGTCCAAACGGAAAATGAGGAGGCCTAATGTCACCTGATCACCAATCAACGAGCTCCATGAAAGGATAGGAGAAACGTCACCACCAATCCCCGAATAATATCCAAAGAAATCCAATAATTAGGCGGATACCTGCAGAAGACAATGGTAAAAACAGGGGGAAGCTTCTAGAACCTTCCACCCCTGATGACACACTTTCGATTCAATATAAAAAGGGAGCCGCGACGCGGAAAAAGTCAGTTCCACTACACGTTCCAGTTCTGCATCAACCCTTCAGTTGGCTACTTTCATCGATTCTACAAGTGCGATAGTCACAAGTTTAGAATCAGCAGAGACGCCCGTTCTCTGAGTTAGATAAATTGATTCAGTCCTAAAGTGGGGACCCACGTAATTTTGAAGTAACAATCAAATGTAGAGTTTTTCGTAACTTTACTTGTTTAAAATATTC